CCTTCATCGCCCGCTGGGTAGCCGCAACACTGTATCAGAAACGGGTGATACTCAGGTGTGGTTGCTGGTTTTCAGAACCGATAACCATCAGCCCAGGACTGCCTCATGGTTCTCTGCTGTCTCCAGTGCTATTCAACGCGTACACAGTGCTGATAACTGAGCATCAGTTGCATGGGAGTGGCAGGACCTTGTCATTTGCTGATGACCCCTTAGTATATCGACATGGAAGAGATCGTCAAGAGATTGCTAAGTCAATGCAGAGTGAACTTAATTGCATCACCTCCTGGTGTGCAGAGATAATGCTCGCTTCGACCCTTCCAAGGCTTCAGTAACGTGCGCATTATTCTAGGATGCACTGGAGACACCTCTTATATAGCAATGAGGTACCTTCTTGACTTCCCTACCATGAACTACATGATAAAGATCTGGAGCGCTCGAGCATACCTCAAGATAAGCTCAGATCGGAAGCACCCTTTGCACCACATGCTCTTCAAGAAGAAGAGCAATAGGCTTAAAAGAAGCAAATCGTGGCTGGGTAGGGCAGAAGATGACATCATGTAGGTTTGCAGCCTTACTGACATCCATCCAGGTGAAGAACGAACGAACGAACGAACGAACAAACGAACTTTATTTTCAAAGGGTCACAAATTGGGCACGCAGGCCCGTCTTACATTCGGCCCTTCCAGTCAACCATCTTTCTCACAGCAGTTGTATTTTACTAATAAAGCATGTTATGATCATATGATGATATGCATATTATGAATATTATAAAAGAACACAAAAGCATGAGTTGTAAGGTGCATGCAAAAACCCGCGCGTGCATACATACACCCACATACACGCGCTCACCCACTCACTTACACACACAAACATGCATGCATACATTACATACAGACATACACAGATACATACAAACAAACATGCATACACACATACACACAGGCATACGTACACACAAACATGCATACATAGATACAAACATACATTCATACGTAATACAGGCATACACGCATACAGTCATAAATACAGTCATAAATGGAGACACACACATGCACACACGGACACTCCCACAGAGACACACACACATTCAGACAAAAATACAGACACACACACAGACACTTACATATAAACACACACAGGGGAACACACAGCACACATATTTACATTCGTGCTCACACACTGACACACACACCACACATACGCAGACAAACATGCAGACACATACATACAGCCACATAGACACACACGCAGTCAAACACACACACACACAAATACAGACAAACAGGCAGACAAACACATACTGACACCCACAGAGACAAACACGCAGAAATGCATAATCATTCAAACACATAGAAATACACACGCAGACACATATATTCAGCACGCACAGACATATACTCTGACATGCAGACACATACAGACAAACAAGGGGCCAACATAACACGCACAGAGAAACACGCATAGACATGCACAGACAGACAGAAGAGTGGATACCAGCGTCTAAAGCGCCCAATCTCACATTCTCCCGTGTCGTGACGCTCGATAGCAATTGTCGGGAGCAGAATCCAGCTGCTTTTAATGACGAGTTATGCAACATAGAGCTTCAAAAGTTTTTTACATTCTATAAATGGAATGATAGAGATTCCAAGAGTCAGAACGATTACATCTTGACGATAAAAAGAGACTTTCGTGAAGTTACAGATTCGAGAGTTATACCAAACGAGTTTAGATACAGATCACAGGAGGGTGACATTTGACAGAAAAGTCAAGATAAATTATCAAACAAGAAAAAAATGTCATAAAAGTGACATAATAAAATGGAAAGAACTAGAAGGTGAGGAAAATAGGTGAGCGTTTTAGCAAAAAATACAAAAACATTATGAACAGCTTCCACAAAACACACTTGGGGTAAATGAATAGGACAAAGCTCTGAAAATGGTGGTCTGAAAAAAAAAACCAAAAGAATTGTGAGCAATACAAATTAAACCTATGGGATTTCGCTGTGGAGCAGAAAAGAAGAGGATTACCTAATATACAGGATAATTATAAGAGAAGTAAATAGAACTATCAGACAAGCAAACAGAGATTCATGGGAAAAGTTTGGAGCAAGCTGGCTGAAAAAAAGAAAGAACAGCAGTTAAAAACTTCAAAAAAAAAAATCAGAGGCATGAGAAACAAGAATGAAGAATACAACCCAACAGAGATTTTAAGTGATGAAGATGGCCAACCTTTAATACAACCTAACAAAATTTTTGCAAGCTGGAGTAATTACTTTGAATCCTTACTTAGCTGCAATAAAACAGATGAAAGCAGGCAAGAATATAAAAACAACTCGGAACTAACAGCAGAGGAACTAACAACTAGGCGTATAATTAGATGAAGTAGAATATTTAATTCATACTGTCCTTAGACTAAAGGCGACCAGTTGAGTCCATCAAGGCAGCAGGGGCAGCGGGAGCAATATGGTTAAAGATAATATTTCAGGTGGCATAGGAAAATC